TCTTCCTGGTATATGTGCAGTACACGTACATGTTTTCCTACAACTTGCATGATCGCATACATACTTTTTCACTGCAGAAATATACAATTTTATGAAGAACTAATTTGCAATAATAATAGCACACATGAAAACAATCCAAGCATACTTTATATTAAAGTGCAATGTTATGTAATCAATGAAAATTACATACATCAAAATATACTTTATTGTTGACTTTACTATTACTTTAGGATTATTAAAAATCATCATCAATTCCTACATGCTGTACAATCATCTGCCTTTTAAAAATAGAACTTGTTACATTTAATATTTCAACAGATTTTTCTATTCAATAGATATTTGATAATATAAGGAGTTAAGTAAATTTGAACTAATTATATTTTATTTTTACCAATTCTTTACAGTTATACCACAATTTATTACACTATTTTATATCATATTAACTTCAACCAAAACATTTCAGCACATTTTGAGATAAAAGACTCAAGTACCTTGCATCAGTTTTAGCTGTAATAAAATTACGCTGTACATACTAATAACTTTCTTCTTGAAGTTTCTCGAAATGATGTTTCTTTTCGAAAAAATTAAAACAGTAAGGAAACAAATTATTTCTTAAAACATCTTTCTTAATGCTACATTATATAGAAATTTAGGAAATGTTAAAAAATGTTAATGAACTGTATATGTGTTAAAATACAATATATTACATATTGCACATGTAACATATCAAATTTACTGAAATGAGAAAATATATACATACCTGAAAGCAATCTTGCAATAGCATTTGGTTTGAAGCTCGCGCTATCCACTGGAGCACTGCATTTACGCTGACTTCCTTTACCCATTTTTTGCACTCTTCAATCAAATTTAAACGTGATCGTATCGTTCAACTTTCCAGTTGTTGGAGCAGTACAGGGAAAAAATCTAATTTTACACAGTAATTACTTTACATTGCACATATACTCTACGAAGACTTAAACGCCGGATTTGTTTACAATCAGATGGCGGTATATCTACCACATACCGTATTTATCCTCTTTTCAAATCGCGCCAACATAATAATTACGCCAAATTTGTTTCTGGGCATGCGCAGTATGCGACATTCGTTTAACACTGTTCAACTCAATGTGCGGTCTGCCATTACGCTTCCTGTAGACGGTAAAGTCCGCCTCTCAACTGGATACTTACTTCTCAAGCATTTGTCGAGTGTAGCCGAACCCATCAACCTATTACACAAGCAAACAATGAAACTTTACACGACAGTGGAACACGCACCCTGACAGTTTCCGCTAACCACTAGACCGTTCAAAGCGATGTAGAGCCCCCTCCAAAGTGCTGAATGGCTTTAAAAATGACATACATATATAAATATATATTTATATAACATATATGTGTAAGATAAAAAAAATATGTGAATCAAAATTATAATTTAAACTAACGGTAAACTCTTTAATTCTCTCTCTCGGTCCTAAAAATTGTAATAACTTCTCTGAATTGTGTTATTTCTGGATTTACCGATTTTGTTTGGTCTGCGCCGCGCTGATGACGTAATAATTGGAAACTGAAACTTTTAAACTCAAACCACAACCTTTCTCTTCGTGTGCTTCCATCTTGCATAACTACGCACATCAGCTTCGCTCTCTGTCCTGCTAGGATGTAACTTCGCTATCTTGCTTGCATTTGCAATCATATCAAAAATGTAAATGTTATGTGAATAGGTACGAATAGAGGGCCAAGTGATTGTGGCCGCAAAAGTCAATTGCAAATAAAAATATAATTAAAACTGCCTGGACTGCCAAGTGTTTTAGATATTACTAACACAATATATTAGCATACTACGCAATCGGCATGCTTCATCTTTAATATGAATCTAAATACGCATTAACAGTGCTCCGTCTCTTTTCCTTGCTATTCTATTATGTTATATACATAACTATATAATATGCATATATATTAATTTCTCTCTCTCTCTTTATATATATATATATAAACATTGTATATATGATGTACATAATGTAGTACATATACCGTAATTTGACGTGTTGTTAAATTAGACATTTTTTGCCATTGCATTTCATATTTTAATGGTTATTTTTATATTTTAAAATTATGTATTTATGACTGTTTCTCGTCGGGGTAATCATAAGCTTCTTAAGCTATGGGTGTAAATATTGTACATAATTTTTCATTTTCCGTTCATTGTTTATTTTATTTTTGCTCAAAAGGTTATGTTGAAGGAAACGTGATTCAGATCTCTTAGATTATTTAGGTTTTAACATTTCAGATTATTACCCCTTGAGAAGTCGATCTGAAGAATGAAATATGAATAATCTAAAATGTATTATAAAATATTAATATGGCTGGGCAAACTCAGTTTAAATAAATTTAAAAATTTTCAAAAAATAGTATGGTTTCTTAACTTTTGCTTCACCTTTTTCAAATTTAATAGGTTTTTTTTAAATGCAATTTTAGAATTTTTTAGAATGGTTAAATCTACTTGGATTAAATTCTTAGTTTAAATTTTTGATATATATCTATATATATATTTCATTACAGTATATAATATATATATATATATATATATTTCAATATAGTATAATGTATATAAATATATGTTTCAACATAGTATATGATATATCTATATTTCAATATAGTATATTATATATATATATATATATATTTCAAGGAATAAATAGTAAATTTAAATTAAATTTAAATAATTCTCTTGTGCCATTGCTGCAAGGAAGGAAATTTGATTTTAACAAACATTCGCTATTCGTAAAAAGCAAATTTAACGTTAATTTTAATTTAAATTTAAAATTATGAAATTTTAATTGCATACAAATAAATGATTAATTATTGCTGCGAACTAATCTACAATATCATTTAAATTCTGAGAGCATATGTAAATTAAGTGCAAGTATCTAAAACCGTGAATAAAATATAATATTCCAAAAAATTAATCCTAAAAAATCTTATAAAAAATTTCAAAGACTAAATTAATTTGGATTAGTGAATAATTGTTGAGCAGGCAGAAGACAGATCTTATCAAGGGCAAGTTGCCTCCAAACCTAACTCTTCAATTACTCAATTCGTGTTTCGTCATCCATGTAGGTATAGGTATGTTTGTTAGAAAATGTTTGTTAAATTCAAATATATATTTCAATATAATATGTAATATATATATACTTAGAGAAAAATCACACATGTATATACATACTTATAGAAAAATTACACATATATACACATACTTATAGAAAAATTACATATATATATATGTATATGTATATACGTTTGTTTATATATTTATATATACAAACAACAAAACAATTTTTATAAAGAAAAATAAAAACCACTTCCAGATTTTTTCGCGCATTATGCCGCTAAAAATTGATCGGTAATTTTTTTCAGAATTCTAATTCTACATATTCTACAATTCTACAATTATATATATATAATATTTCTGTTTCTGAAAGATATATGCATCTCGTCGCTTCATTCGCAACTTTTTAGAAACTCTATTCGTTTCAAATAGGATCCTTTAAATAACATTTTCCTACTCATTAACTGAAGCATAATTGCTTTCTATCCGAAAACTGATATTCAACCCGCAGCAATTATTTTCAGCTTCATATATGATAGATCTCTTGTTTGGCATTTCACTTAATGATAGTTCTTTTCTTAAATCTTCAGGCATATCCGTTCTATTATTAACTACCATTCTTTCTTAATGAGGATTTTTCCTCTGAAAAGAATTCTTTCTCACAAATACTCCTTGCTTTTGCAATAATTATTTATATCTCAGCATAGAACTAAGATATATATAACATTAAGACTTTTTCTCCACTACGGTTTTCAATGTAGGATTAAGCCTCTATCGGCAGAATTTAGTTCAAGGCCCCATTTATGTGGGTTGCTTCTAATGAAATTTTAAATAATACATTTAAATACACGAAAAATAAATTTTTTTTATTAATAACAGAAGATTCAAGCACTACTACAATAATAATTGTAAAATAAAATATTTTTTGGCATAAAAAATACATAAAAATTTATATAATTATAATCATTAACCAGTCTCTAAAAAATTTCAATTTTTCGTTTTCGGGTTTTCATTTTAGAAAATTGGACACACCAGCGGCCGAGCGGTAAAGTCGCTGAACACTGGTAGTTCGGTCCGAGGTTCGAATCCCGCGAACGGGCTGGCTGCATGGACGTTTCCGTGGTCTTCCCCATGTGCAATGTGTATACGAGACAGTTTCCCTTAGAAAGTCCTCCACGAAGGCATCCCTCCTCTTAGGCAGATAGCCCTCGAGGCTTTGCCATAATCACACACACATTTTAGAAAAATGAAGAATAATTTCAAACTGGTTGTTCAAAATTTACTTTTTAAACAGCAGTCAACAATAGTAATCAACAATATTTTTCTAAATAACAATCTACTTTCCTTTTTAAATAGCGAGTATTGCTAAAGACATCCTTTCTTGCCGGATAAATTTTTTAAATAATTTTAAACTGGTTTCAAAATAGAGAAAGATTTTTCTCCTCTGCATTACCTACAGGTATTGCTAAGTAAATTCTCAAAAATAATTCGGTAACTGGAAAGTGTTTGTATTTATTATAAACTCATACACATTGTACGGGCTTCGCAAATTTCATTTTCGTGCCATTTACATAAACTATTAAGCTCATTTGTAACAACACCATCTGTAGTTACAAACGTGCGAACAGTGAACATATATGCACAGTACACATATTTGGAGTTATCACGTATACTCGCCTTACGCATATTATAATACAGTGTGTAGCACCAAATTCGTTTATCGACGATGGCGTTTATTTGTATCTTTCCAAAATAATAACATAAATATTTTATACTGTTAAGGATTTATCAAAAAATATTTTTCTTGCATTATTAAAAGTTTATTATTATTTATTTTTAATTAAATAATTAACTATTATTATTTTCCATTCTGAAGCCGTGCCTTTCCTAATTACAGGCTCTAGACATTTGTCTTATTTGTCTATTGGTTAATCAACATTGATGCTTTTTCAATCGAAGACTTACTAGATTTATTTCGCATTTTAATAAGCTGACTCCATGAAAGACTCCATCTCGAAACCTTTTCAAAGGTAATAAGTACTAAATACACAAAGCGATAATAAGTTCTGACTGTTATTTAGATTTTTTAATTATTTGCTTTTACTTGTTTGTTTAGCATATGATTGTTTAAAATAACTTTTCAGCAAGCATGAGAAAAAGATTTTAGATTCCATATTTGTGATGAACGCTAATTATCAGGAAGAGAAACATACTGTTGTAATACTTTTTACCGCAATATAAACTGCGGGCTGAACAGGTCTCCTTAATTCGGCTACTTATTTGTCAGGATCATCTGACCAGATGAAAATCACCTGCTACAAGAATATGGTATGATCTGACCTTGTAAGCGATCTTCGCATCGGAATACTGATATATTTATCAGTAGACTATATGTGGGTATCTGTTGAGAACAAAGAGTAATTCGAAGAAACCGAAATTTTTGACTGGATTTAGACTTGAGACGTTAGCAAGATTAAGGAAGAGGACAACAAAGTATTAGCTAACTAGAGTGGATTACTTTTAGTCCAGTAACAGACAGCTTCTAGGCTAAATTGTATATCAATTTACTGTGACGAAGGCAATCTTCTGTGCAAAGGCCAAAGCAGGTGTGAGGAATTGCTGATACCTTCATGCAAGTGAAACACGGAAAAGAGCCACATAATGTTACTAAGTTAGTGAGGCCTTCAAAAGAATCGCTTTCGGTAATCTTTAGCTGTTACCTAGATGACTAGAAACAACAATCCAACATATATAAGTTTTCGTGCACTGCTTTTGCAAGTCTTTCGGGGTATCATAAATGATCTTTGGTCGAGATCATAATGTCGGTTTGTAATCTCTCCTTTGGAAGGCAGTTAGATGCCTCAATAATATCTACAAGAGCTGCAGGCACATTTAGGAGATGTATGATTGCTCTTCAAAAGGAAGTTTTCTACAATAATTTTCAAATCGATGTCATACAAATGTAACGGATGAACAAACGAGGACAAAAAGCAAGTGTGATTGTAAAATACAAAGTCTCAACGACATATTTCTTCAAGTATCTCAGCAAAGGCTTAAGAGTGCCATTAAATAACAGGACCTCCAATAACCCAGGTTCATATTCTGTTATACATATCACACATCATTAACCATGTTCATATTTAGTAGCTTCTTCTTCCGAGCCAAATACTTTGCACTACGGTAGACTATCCTCTTATTATGGTAAGGAATAGTTTGCTCCTGATCTTTGAGGTTTCATGCTGGCAATGGCAATTCGTGGAGAGTTTGATATTAAAAATTTGTTCAAATATTTCCATATATTCTTTTCACGTTTCCATAACAGTATATAAATATTTATGTATATTCATTTTTCATTTATATATTATATTTCTTATGCTTTGATTTAAGAGATTTTATCTACAAAATTGTTTCCAGATTTTAAACCATTTTAGTAGAAAGGCAGACATTGGGTTTCATAATTTCATATGACTGGGACAATTTTCGAAAGTGTGAGTGAGATATTGAGCTATTTACATGCGTATTTTGTGGGCATTTTGTCATAACAATCCCTAGACTGAATTTCATGTTTATGAAACTAAACGTAGGGAATTTTTTATACTTTCCGAAGAATTTTTTCGCCTATAGCTTTAATGAGCTAGAAGCTACATGTATATGCCTTATGGTCTGACGGGAAACACCATTAGCTTTACTAAATAAAATAAAATCTTTTATAGGAATGGCAGTATTCAAGTTTTTTTAATAATTACAAGCAAGTAAACAAAATATGAAATTGCAGAAGTGTAATCGCAATCTCTTGCAATGTCTTTTTAAGGTCTTTTCAAATTCTGAGTTTTTTTTTAAGTTTTTGAAGTTTAGTTTTTAAGAAAAGTTCAGTTATGTTACTTACTGCTTTCATTCCAAGACTTCTGAAAATTAATTCATCTTCATTGAAATGAATTCAGTATTTTAAATTGCTGCAAATGTATGTAAAACATTTTAATTTAACTTACTGCACGCGAAATTAAGCCATTTTATGTAGTTTCTGCAATAGTAAAATGTGAAAAATAATTAAATAAATTTACTTATCTTAAATAAGGATTCAAGAAGCAAAAAGGAGCATTATAAAAATTAGTTTTTCATTAAATTCTATTAAAAGAAAAATTCTGAAAAGTGAAAAATTTTTTGAGCTGATTCTTAGATGTGCAAATTCTGCTACAATTATAGTTTCTAAGGTCTGAGGTCTTATAATTAAAGGTTAAAAAAAAAACTTAGGAGACTGAAGTTCTATGTACAAAAAATTCATGAAAAATTCCATTTTTTATAAGAACAACATCAGATATTTACATGTAGCAAAGGAAGCTTTAAGTTAGCAATTAGGCGGGCGAAGGGAGTAAAACTTTCCATTAATAATCCGAAATCCAGTTTTTACAATTTTCTTCTCAAAATATCTGAAACTAAGTGTGACGTCTGCTATCTTATTTATAAATTTGCAGGGTTGTTATCTGTTTTTCCATGTAAACTAAATTAGAGCCTACAATAAACCTGGCGAATTCTCGCACAGACGTGAATAAATACCAGCGCAGAAGAGGGGCGAAAGTAACCCTTTATTAAATTCAAAATAGTTAACAGAAAAGCACTATCTTCGTACGTTACAATATCACCGTCAAACTTGCGGGTGAAACTAAAAAAGTAGAATATAATTCAAATCAAAATCTAAAATAAGTAGTGTTGAATAACACGTAAATTACGCCTAACAGATTGACTCACAAAAAAAACCTAACAGGCAGGATAATGAATCCGAAATGGCCAAGAGGCCTACTAGCAAAGAATCTCTAAGGAGATTCTTTGTTACTAGCGTAACAGCGAAACAACAACGAAACGTGCGCTGGCAAGTGAAAACACGCCCTGAATAAACTCAGAGATTCACCCGCATAAATACACACTTCTTAACTTTAAATTTACATCCTGGCGAGAGAATGTGAGGGGAAGTTGAGAAGTTCAGCAAAGGTATCAAATTTAAAATAAATTTGTTATGAAAAGTAAGGGAAAACCCTACAATTTGTCATAAAATATTTGTCTCTTTAAATTAAAACAAAAATACATTTTTATGCAGTCACAGTATATTGTTGCGTGCCTACGGGTTCGTTATAGATTGAATGCACAAGTCTGATGAAAAGTTAATAAGATTTATTCTTATCGCAAGAAATAAAACAAAATGCTGAAATTTTTCCTCACAGATATTCGAATAATATTACAGTATCAAAAAGTAGTTATATTTTAAACTACTAAAACGTTAAATAGAACACAATTCAAAGCGCAGAGAAAGCTAATCCGATCTCATAATTTACTGCAGCTAAGTAAACAACAACAGATCACTGAAACAATTGGACTTTCTCCGGCTTTTTAAAGCTTTTTAATCATGCACGAGAACATTCTAGTAATTTTTATTTTTTCAAGGTTTCTGGAAAGCAAAAGAGTAGAATTAGAGTTACAGCTAACACACAATTGCATTTATTCAATTTAAATATAAATTATGAGATATCTATTTATTAAATGTTAAATGCGCGTGCTTCTGTACTTTTACTTTTCCGGCGTAGTTTTCTTTTAAAATAAGCCTCGTGCTGCATTGCCACTGGGATATAAAACAATTTTAATTACAATTCTACTAAAAATAGCCAACTGAATACAAAATCCGTAACAGTATGTAGTTGAATCTAAAATGCTATCTTTTCGAAGATTCACTATTTATACACCAATAGGAAAAAGTTATTTTTTGATACGAAGCAAACAAAATCGTGAAAATAAAACTCTAAAATGTGGTTGGTAAATATTTTCCATAATAGACTTCAAAATTCTGAGTTTCTATGATTTTAATAACTATAAGACTAATCTCATTTTTAGTAACATTTATAAGAGTAAAAAGGGATGGCACAGAAGCGAAGAATTACAATAATTTCAATAAACGTCTTGTCTTAAGTCCCCTTTTTTGAATTTTCGAATGACAAGAATGTTTTGCTAATTTTGAAATTTTCTAGCAATAATTAAAGGGAAATACTTATGTGCTGAAGTTAACTTAAACTTTTAGCCGACTTTAGTTCTGAATCAAGACAAGCAACAGTATTATTAGTTAGTAACACGAACTCTGCAAAGTTTTAACCTTAAGAACAAAAGGAATTGCACTATTTAAGCTTTGTTTTTCGTCAAAGATCCAAGTTTACGTATTTTCATTTAATGCATACTGTTTGCTTGATTTCATAATGAAAGTAGTCACCAAATTGTTGGGTGATTTTTTTAATTACTGTTATCGTTTATTATTTGCCGTTTTTAATTGCTTTGTTTACTCTCTGTCCCATTTGTTTACTACTGTCTCTAAGAGAAACGAGCAATTTTTTTAGCTGAGGAAGAACATGTTGTTTTACTTCAAAAAGTTAAAAACAATCCTGAAAAAAACAGCGCTGAAATATCGAGTTCCACTTTATACACTTTCTGATTTCTTTTCTGATGATTTCTGCAAAAAGGCTAAAGGAAAAATTCTTTAGCCTTTTTGCAAAAGAGAAAACTAATTTGGCATGCAAGAAAAATTATCTTTATGCTAATGAGGTTTTGCTAAAGTAGCCTGAAAGCTATTGTAGTTCTAACGTTAAAATTCCAACAGATGTCTTCAGCAGAGGAAAAGCTTTAGGGTTCGTTGAAATTCTTCGATATTTAGATTTTTAGTCAGTAATGCGAAGATGTGATTCAAAATTTAAACAGATCTCCTGTCTTAGAAACACATTTCGAGAAGCTATATGAGTACGCGAAAATATTGCAAAACATAGAAAGAATAAATGTTACATAAATTACAAATATTTGTTTAATCATTCAAGGGGGGATAGAAATTACCACTTCTAAAAATTCTTATTTGAGGTGGGTAGTAGTTTAGGTTTAAAATCATAATTCTAAAAATAATATTTAAGAACAATTTATGATTTGGTACCCTACATAATCTGAAATGCGAATTCGCATATTTCAAAATAACTGTTCAGAATATCTTGCATGTAATTCCTTCTTTGGGTTCAAGAGCTTCACTCCATGTTTTAAAATCATTTTCTCGTTCTTTGCTTGAAAAATAAATATAAAATATTTAGTTATATAAACATTAAAATAAATTTCAGAGAGCTTCCATAGTTTATATAATTAATTTCTTTGATATTATTTTGAAACTTAATGTAGTGTCTCCTAAAAACTTAAATCATTAGTTGAAATGTGAGAACTATGCATGGAATATGATACCTAAAAAATCGCCACTTTTAGTTGCGACCATAAATCCTTGCTCCTTATATACTTTTTAACTCTTCTGCTGAGTTTCATCTGTTATGCCTTCAGCAGTCTTTAAATAATGCGTTTAAGCTTTTCGGTCTTCTCTTTGTTTACGTAGGTTGTACTATTAAGATATCCCTTTAGCTTTTTTAAAAGTTACGGCAAAGTCGTGTGAACTCGACTGCTAGATGATTATCGTAACCTCAACTGGCACCTTTATTTAAAATGCAGTGTGTCCCATAAGTCTCTAACTATTTTAAAAATTCAGAAAAATTGAAGGATAATTTTAGTATGGTGCTGATAATGGGTAATTTTAGTTGAGTATAATGGCTAATTTTAGTTTCCAAAATCCGTCCAAAGATTTTGTCAAGTACAATTGAAATATTCATAAAAATAAGAGCAATTTTTTAGCATTGATTGTATTAAATAAAACACGATTTTGAGTTAATGAAGATATCATACAAGATAAAGTTTCAAATTAGCAAACACTAGAAGTAAGCGAAATAAAATTGTAGAACCTAGATGCAACTTTATTTACTCTTAACGGAGTTTCTTTTTCGATAAAATGAAACTGATTAATCAAAGAGGAATTTAGTCGTCCTGTTTTAATTTCTTTAAACACTGAGAAAATTTTGTGAGCTTTGCAGTGAATGTTTATACTTTCCGTCATTATCTTACGCCTCCCCCCCCCCACAGCAAAGAATCATTATTCGAATTTGATAAGATAACGTTGATAAAATTTTACTTTGCAGTTCAATCCCTATTTAATATACTTTTAAAGAAATACAATAGAGAAGTAAAGCCAAAAAAAAAAAAAAAATTGCATTCTCAGGGTTTTGTACCACTGAGGTGTAAGAGTTCCATATCTAAAGTTAGTAACTAATCTAAGACAAATTTTGCACAATCTTCCTCATTTCTTTAGAATCACGAATAGCATTCAGGATTGATTTTGAATCACGAATTGGCGTCATTAATCACAAGCGCTTCCAAAAATGTTTTTAATCAATTCAGTAAACCCATTCTATCGAAAAGTGTTGCAGTAGAGCGGAAACGTTTCATAATCGGCTTACTTATTACGAAGTTTAGAATCGGTATAAGTCGTAAAAATATCGATCCTATGTATTTTAAAAGACTTTGGCTCCAAATTACAAAATAAAAGTACTTTTTTATTGCGGTTATAAAATTTTAAGCAAATACATTTATTTTTCTGAAAGGAAATCCGATTTTTCTCATAAACTCATTAATTTTGTTTTCATAAAAATAAAATAGATTACTTTATTCTTTATTCTTTCTAAATTTTCTAATTTTTAATTTGTGTAAGCACACTTTGACGATTCTTTTAAATTCGTGCAACAATCTTAGAGCTCTTAAGAATCATCAAAACGTCTTGAAATGTTCTAAAAAGGAATATTTTGCATAACTGAGAAACGCTAGAAATACTAGTACGAGGCATCTCCGTATGACCAGAAATTACAACACTTTGCAATAATAATAGATGTTTCAAGGTTATAAGTGTAGAGATTCACTTAATAAAAACTACCTTTGAAGCTTTAACGTAACTGCCGCACGAATAGCATACCAAGAAATGATTTACTGTTCTATTGTGAGAGTCTTATATGTTTTCGGAGCCCTTTATTTTCGTAGAAAATAAATGCTGCTTGCTTCAGTGATTACAAAGCTGCCTACTGGTATTCATATTCTTGAAGAAAACGCAGATACTTACTTTTGTAGTTCTATTTGGTTAAGCAGGAGTATAGCATTATAATAATAATCGCAAAAACTGTATAAATAAACTGTATAAATAACTGTAAAATAATTCTAAATATACACGACAATATTCTTTATTTAGGAAATTTCCCACGGTAAATTATGGTTTCCTGGAACCGATGTAATTCTTTATCTCGAAAACATAAAATTTCTGTAATGGATCTTTTAGAATATATTTATTATAGTCTTAATTATACATTAATTAGAGCCTATCATCTGAAATTCTGCTGAGTTACTTAGGAGCATTTTGTTCTAACGAAACATACTTAAAAATAATTAATATGTTCTCTAAAGGGAGAAATGTTTCCTGTTTTACACTAATGTTGCTTCCCTAGATTGTATTCTAAGACAAATCAGTAATCTGCCGCCAAATCGGTATAGTGCTTAGCAACTCTGACTGCTGTAGCGATGGGCCCGGGTCCGAATCTCCCGGAAAAGTCATGGTTGTAACTCTCTGTTCCAGGAGCCAACGGTGGCCACTTATTACGCCCTTCCATAATGAAATGGCTACCACTTCCTGCCCTTGTAGTGGCGCAGGGCTAATGGTTGTTAAATAAAGCGCCAGGCCATTTTAAAAAAATCAGTATTTTAATCTGAGGTCCGTTTCTAAATACTTTTAAAGAGCCGCCCAGACGGTATAGTGGTTAAGGGAGCCGACTGCGATGCCAAAGGACACGGGTTTGAATCCCGGATAAGGCATGGTTGTAACTGTCCGTTCCTTCATAGGAGGTAAAGGTAGCCCAGGTGGAAATGAACTGCATAATTGGTGTGCGAATCTTCTTTCTCGCTTGTAGAATTTTGTCACCATGCTCCGTAATTTACGTACCGTCAGGGAGCAAGAATTCGCGAGTACATATAATGACATCATTCATTTGAGACAATAGGTAATATGAGTCTTGCTTTGTTCCCCTGAAAGGATAAAAGGAAGTTTCCACAATGGAGGCAATAGGAAAAATTTTATGCACAAATGGAAAATGAAATTCCAGAAAGAGATCAGTTTAGAGCAGAGCTGGGCAAAAGCCAGCCCGTGGGCCGGATCCGGCCCTTTTGCTTACTTTATCCGGCCCGTTGAAAAATCCTGCATGCAATTTTTTTAATCTCTTACATGCCGTAACATCCTCTTAAAATATATCTTATTTAATACCTTATATATATGTCTTATTTCTTAATAATATATATTATATATATATTATTTTATATTAATATTTTAATTTAATAATTTATTTATTTGTAGGCCTTTGTAAAATGAGTCAATCTAAAAAAAAGAAAAGTTGGTTTGGAGTGCAGAAATTTCAATGAAGCATGGACGGTAAAATACCTTTTTACAAACATTGATAAGAAAGCAATTTGTTTAGTTTGCCAGGAAACATTTGCTGTTTTCAAGGAATACAATTTTAAACAGGCATTTTAAATCAAAACATCCAAAATATTCATCACTTTCTTTAAAAGAACTTGAAAGTGCGGCAGAAAACAGGACAAAAAACTTGAATAAGCAACAAAATATTTGTACCAAACAAAGTAATATCGAGAAATCTACCACAAAAGCAAGTTATGCTGTTGCACACAAAATTGCTAAGTTCTGTAAACCTTTTACTGAAGCAGTTTGTTAAACAATGTATGATACAATTGTCGGAGATATGTTGTCCTGAAAAAAAAAACATATTTTTGAAAATGTAAGCCTTTCGAGAAGAACAATAGTACGACGGATCGAAAATATTGCAGAAATTTTACTTGATCAGCTAAGAACAAAATTGCTGATTTTACATATTGTTCTCTGGCTTTAGATGAGTCCTGCGATATTACTGACACAAGTCAATTATTAATATTTATCCGAGGTATAAACAAGAAATGTGAAGCGAGGAACTTCTTAATGTGCATCCAATGAAAGATACAACTACCGGTGAAGACTTCTTTATCGCTTTTGAAGAGTGTTTAGTTAAAGTAAATTTAACTTGGAACAAAATAGTAAGCATCACTACGGATGGCTGCCTTAGTTTAACAATGACAAACTGATTTGACAAAAGTTGTGAATTTTATCCGGGGACTTGCCTTAAATCATCGACAGTTTGTTGAATTTTTGAAAGAAATTGAAAGTGATTTACGAAATTCCTTGTTACACTGAAGTGCGATGGCTTAGCATCGGTAAAGTTTTGGACAGGTTTCAATATTTACTTGATGAAATAGTATCCTTCTTGTCTATAAAAAAAATCTGCATGATTTTCCTGAATTGCAAAATGAGGCATGGCTAAACGATTTCTCGTTTGCAGTAGATATTGTAAAATATTTGAATGAATTAAATATAAATCTACAAGGGAAAAACCAATTCGCTTTATGCACTCAAACGTCAAAGCATTTATGATAAAACTCAATTTATTTGCTAAAAACTTAATAAGAAATTACTAAATCATTTCCCTTCATTACAATCACGACGAGAATCATTGAAAAATACCGATTTTCTTAAATATTGTGCAATAACACAAGACCTGCATTCTGAATTCCAAAGAAGATTTGAAGATTTTAAAGCTATTGAAAAACCTTTATCATTAATTAGTCAACCTTTCAATTTTGACGTGCAAGAAGCTTCTGTTGAAATTCAACTAGAACTAATTGACTTACAGTTAAATAATTTACTAAAAGAACACAATAATTTACAAAAGAATACAGAACATTTCAAACATTTTTTTAACTATGTTCAAAAATACCTAGTTTTATTTGGTTCATATATTTGTGAAAGAACTTTTTCGTTAATGATTTACACGAAAAATAAATATCGATCACAAATTACTGACGAAAATCTACACTCGGTATTAAGGATTGCTATAAGTGATTTGGATCCAAATTTTGAAGAAATAATATCAAATGAACATTCCAGATTTAACTAGAACTATTCTATTTTAACGTTTGATGTTTGTCTTTTCTTTTTATAATTCTATTTACTATTATATTTACAAAATGTAATATAAATATAAAAATGTAATAATTATGATCAAAATAAAATAATTTGTATCGTTAAGATATAAATAAATAAATATCAAAATAAATCATTTCATTAACTGATTTATTTTAATGACCATTAATTTAATATAATGAATCATATTTCTTTAAAAATTACGTGACATATTTTACTGGGCACAAATTGTTCGCATATACACCTAAGTAAGACAATTATTATTACTATTATCTTTTATTAACTGTCAAATTTCTCTGTTCAAATGCTTTAAATTTTAAAGTTTAAAATTTTAAAGTTTTAAAGTTTAAAATGATACTTATAGTGTTTTTGTCAAAAAAATTTCTTAGGCAGGGGAAAAAACTCCACCCAAAACATTCGCGTGTCCACAGCGTACGCGGTATAGCCCTCCGGCCCGGGAGACATTTTGAAAATTTCATTTTGGCCCGCGCTTAAAAGTGTTTGCCCACCCCTGGTTTAGAGGAACGAAATGTATGTAAAGAATTTATCTACGTAACATATTGTTACGAATTTTGTATATATGTAAATAATTTTAGTGATATTGTAATATCTTTTGTATAATGTAGCATGAAAAGTCCGAGAGAAGAGACCAAGATTTTGGAGAGACCAAGCTCTGCCTGAAAAATAAGATTACAGGGGCAAGTCTATTCATCATTGAGGCAAATGGCTATCTCCCAGGCTGGCGATGGTTTTGGTGACTAATTTTTGTTGCGAAATTTATCGAGAAATCATCAAAAGTGACCAAACTTGGCAAACACTTGGTGACATTTTGGTCCAGTCTCTGTATTACTTTAATTGAATAACTGTAATTGATTCTTATATGTAACCTAATTGTTCTTATTGTCGTAATTGTTCCAATATGATTGCTGCCTTCCAATAATTTCCATAAATGGAATGAACAAGAGATTTCTTGGCGGCCAGGGAGAAGCTATATAAGACCGGAGAGAGCATCAGTTTCTCAGTCCCTCCTGCTCTCATCTTGATGGTGATTCAGTTGTGAGGATCATGCATGAGTGAAGCCCCACGTGGGATTCCTTGAATAATCTGGTAAGAGCAGGATAAATTCCTGCTGTACACCAGAATAAGTAGTAAAGCGTCAAACTATCAAGTTTCTCAGTTTTTAATTCAGTGTTTAAGTTCTTAGTACTTTGAAGTGTAACTACTGAATGCGCTCTATCATACTGAAAGAGCTATACTAGTGCTTTTGCGGAAAGTTCTAGAACTATAAAGTGTTTATTTTGTGGAAATAAATTTTATCAAGCTACCATCGGTTCTGTGTGCATTTAATCTGTTACGAACCTGTGCGCACGCAACAATATTCATTTGATTAATATTTCGATGTTAAAGTATATCCTAGAAAAGCCAATTCAAGTGTGAAATCGTGAAACATTAAAAGCCCTGTAGACGCCACGATTTTGAATGCAAGCATGCAAACGCGCGTACATTATATTGTCTAAGGTGCTGTATTTTGTAGATGGAGTTTCATGTTTGTTGCACTTGGTCAGTCAAATCAGGAAAGGTTCGTGCTGGTTGCGAATGACGCGGTATTTGTCGTTCAATTATGTCACATATATTCCCTATGAGAGAAAGGTCGGGTGATCTCGCAAACGGAGGCAATATGTTGACACTCTGTATACCAAGTTGGGTGATAGCAACGGTATGGGAACGAGGGTTATCCAGTTGGAATATGGGGGAAAGTGCAGAATCACACACTGCTTGGGCGCGTTTCTAAGAATTGTACAAACTCGGTATCCATGTGCACATCGACCTATTTTCACTTAAAAAAACATCAGAGACTTGCACAAACACAAAATTGCGCAATCCCTTTGTCCGTGTACATATCGATGTATTTTCACTTAAAAAGTCAAAGGAAATTGAGAAAAATCCAATTCTTCTTACTCTTGTAAAAAGCGCCAAAGATAATGCGTCAAATAAGTGGGAGATTCTGCACTTCACCGGGAATATGTCCTCTGGAGTATTGCTCAATAATGGCAGCACAACCGCTGCAATTACCAGTCTGACGTACAGGTTTGCTGTAAAGGTGTGTGGGATAACAAATGAGAATGCTGCTACAGTTATAGGAAACTGCTTCGCAGACCATAATTCCTGGTATATGTTTAATGTATTTCCGCCTCAGACATACTGCTTCCAAGCGCTTACCTAATCTCTTTCTAACATACGGCCACCAGTGGCATCAAGACAGGAACGGGTTCTCATCTGAGAATACAACAGATGTCCACTCTGGTCGTTCACTGAACTCTAAGTTGACACCGTCGAAATTGCAGATGGCTATGATTTAGTGATGAGGCTACTACAGGATGCCTGGATCAGAGCAGCCCCTCAAATAATTGATTTGTTACAATGCTCTGTGTCACTCTGGTTATGTTTTTATTTTATGTGTTATGTGTGTGTATATGTGCTGTGTTCAGTGTGTGTTATGTGTTTACTTGGTTGCGTTCATGTATGTATATGTTTTCTATTTTCTATTTTTATGTGTTATTCACTATGTAATGTACTTTGTATGTCACCTCAACCACATATGTAATCCACCAACTTAATGTCAAACAATTGCCCCTGTATGGCCTTGTAAACCTTTCTTAAATCTTATATAAACTGCCGGTGCGGCCTCGTGCGGCTCCAGGGGAGTGGTTGCCTCTGGATCGTGGAGGACGTGGGACATATGCCTGTTTACCTCTGTTAAACACCAGGCGTCCCCGTCCTCCGTTAGTGAGTAGGATTGTCACCTGTCACTCTGGTGCCAACAAAAACTCGAATATCTGCTTAAGATGCAGTTCGATGAGCCACGGACATGCTGCATATACGGCGGTCTTTCCTTTGAGTGGTGGCACGTGTGTTTCCGGAACGCCACCTTTTTGACACAGTACCTTCAAATGACCAGTGCTGCCAAAACGCATGCACAGTGAATGCGTCCTTGTCAAAGTCGATAATGCTTTCTTTTCCTCCTTATAAGCAGTCTTGACTCACATTGCACTCACAACGCGCAATCTGAAATATAAATAAAGCTTACGAAGTTTACATCGCGTACTTAAAGCATATGTGCATTATCATTAGTGGCGCTACTAACGCCACACTTTTTGTCTAGTGCGAAAATTGAACAGACGTCATCTTTCATATGTGCAAACACTCTTCCCAAATTTCGTTTACTTAGCACAACTGCTTCTTGGTGTAGGATTTCATTTTCCATTAGTGTAGTTTAATTTCAGCCAATTCAACTAGATTATGTTCATGTGTTTCAATGCGCATTATGCTTCTGAAATCAGTAAATGTTACGTTTTCATGTTAAAGAGTATTTATAGTCAATAAAGAAGACATCAAAGATAGGTCATGATCAGAAGCAGATCCCACAGAACTTCAGTATTTCGCGAAACATTATTTCAAGGCTTTCAAGATGATTCCAGATTAACGAGCATGTACCAAAGCAATATGGTCTAAGTTGCTTACATCTCTTAGCTGTATGATAGGATTGTTATTTGGCTGCAGCAACCCAATTAACCAACCAGATGCATTATCAACTAGCACAACAAACGTAATATACTAACCAATTAGCGCAGCAGATGTGTTGTTTAGAGGACTATCGAATGCCTTAGAATCTTTGTATCTAGATAAAACATGTAACATAAGTCTACATGAGATTCATTTGTTTTCAAGGCGACAGGCTGTATGCTATGTTTGTTTATTTCTCTGAATGTGATAAAGTTCAAGAGGGCTATCAGCCTAAAGGGAGGAATGCCTAGCATATACTAAGATGTATCGGTTTGAATTTATATTACGCATGGAGAAATCGCCGAAATCCCTACATAACTAGCCTATTCATTGGGACTCGAATCCCGGTTTAATTACCAATTAAACAGTCGACACCTGTTCGACATATGTATGCATTTCCTTAAGTGAAAGACACATGCAGATTCACAGAACATGGTATAGTGAATACCATGCTTATACCCCGCTATAGCGGAGAAGAACATAGTTTACTGAAGAGTCACTTTCACTTTAGAAAATGATTTTCGATGCGTGTCCAACGAGTCCAATGAGAGAGTTATTAACCTTTCCGACATCATCGTAAAGGATCGTAAGGGACTTGAAATAAATCTTTAAACTACTGCTTTTCATATTTATATTATTTACCAAAGAAAAAAAATATTTATGGGAAAATACTTATTTTTATTTCCTTATTTATATTTAATACCTGTGGTCGCAAAAATAATCTCGATGTTAGAAAAGAATCTTCAATAAAAAAAAATTTAAGAAGGGCTGCTCTAAATAATGCCAGTACTACTTACTAAACATGCTGTATGTTCAACAACTGAACGCGTGCTACTGTTGCAAATTAAAATAATTTTTTAGAAGGCCTTTATTATCTGTGTGCCAAGTTTTATCTTATTTGAAGCATTTTTTCATAGAATAACATTTTTCTCTTGAGAGCAGTATATTACTAACGGAAGAAGTTTGATTTCGTTCATTTATTTTCAAGCAATATTGCCCTAATACTGGTAATTTTTGACAGAAAAAAAATTCAGCACTAAAAATTGTACAGAGTAGTTAATACATATGAATAATTCTCTATTCTCAGAAACCGTTGCAGAAGCTTTGAACATTAAATAAAATTTATTTTTATTTTTATATACTCTTCAGCCACCATTACGTGATGCTTTTGTAATGCTTAATAATTCACCTGTGGATTATTTACTATTATTGTTGTAGTATGTAATTGCTTTTCATTAGATTAGATTACTTGCATTTTCTCAAGGTTAGAACAATATAGACCCATTACAATCATGTTTCTGGAACTTCTTTTAATAAAATAATGTATAATTTTCCTTATCCTTCTTTCAAACTAAATCGCGCATTTCCTAACAGTATTTGTAGACCACATGGGGTTTTTGTTTCAAAGAATTTCGCTAATATTTCTTTCCCACAAAAGATTACAGGATTTGAGTAAATATACCAACTGGCAGTACTACTTGATGAATTTTAAAGATTTTGATTGATTATTAATTAGAATGAGATTTAATGCGCAAGTTGTTAATAGTTTTTTACTCTTA